ATGAGGAGTGACAATTTTTGTTTATAGGTACATTATACACTTCTAGTTGTATTACTTTGTGATCGTGAATACAACTTGTGTATTTTTTCTGTTTTTAAAATTTATTAGAATTTTTGTGAATTAGCATATAAGTTTCAGAAATATTTCTGTAAATATATAGATTGTCATGTATAAAGGAGCCATCCTTTATATGCTACACAAAATTTGTTATTGTTTATTTCCTTGATTATGGGGCTCCATAATCACGAGAGAAACCATTGATTTAATAACACCTTTTTCAGGAAGAATGAACAACACTGCATTAAATGTACACAAATTTTTACTATCTACTAACATGTAGGGCGTGTATTTATATTACCATTATGTCCCTTTTATAGTATTTCACAATTTAAGTCTGAGCCTTTTTCATAAAACAGAGCTTAAACATATTAAGCTTGGACATGTGATGTTGACCTCTTTATAAAATGTCGAGGTTATTGAACATTGCTGATGTTTCATCTTTCTTTCCTGACAGCTTCTCTAGAAATTCAGCTGTAAGTTTTTGACACTAGATGTTTGGTTCCCGAAGTAATAGTCTTTCTGACTCATGCATTGGCCGTATCAGCCTCCCTATCTTTAAAAATTATATGACTTATTCTAAGAGATTAGGGTTTTGCTTTTGCCTTATGATTGCATGGTCTAGCCTCCAGTGGACAGCCTTCTCCATGCAGTTATTTTTTGTGTCATACTACATCAGACAGTAATCATTTTCAAACATTTTATGTCAAAGTTAGGAATCTAATGTTAAAATCCAGCTGTTTGGGATATGCAATGCAAAGCAAATAACTCAATTAACTTGAAGGTAGGATAGATCCTTCCCTACAAAGCTAAATTTGCACCATACATCAAGTTAGAACTACTTGTCCATTAAAATGTATTCTTTTTTTTTTTTTTTCTTTTTTTAAGACAGAGTCTCCTTCTGTGACCCAGGCAATGGTGCAATCTCAGCTCAATGCAACCTCTACCTCCTGGGTTCAAGGGATTCTCCTGCCTCAGCCTTGAGTAGCTGGGATTACAGGTGTGCACCACCACGCCTGGCTAATTTTTGTATTTTTGGTAGAGATGGGGTTTCACCATGTTGGTCAGGCTGGTCTCGAACTCCTGACCTTGTGATCTGCCTGCCTTGGCCTCCCAAAGTGCTGGGATTACAGGTGTGAGCCACTGCACCTGGCCAAAATGCATTCTTGATTGCTTTGAGATTCTTTTGGCTTTAATTATAAGAAGATCCTGAATTCAGAAATATTAACATGTAAACTTTTTCTTTTGGAATGAGGAAATCTTCTACCTGTTATTTAAAGCTGATTGATTTCAGACTCAGGTTTTTTTTTTTTTTCTTTTTTTTTTCTTTTTCCTGTCACCCAAGCTGGAATGCAGTGACATGGTTATAGCCCCACTGAAGCCTTGAACTCCTGGGCTCAAGCAGTCCTCCTGCCTCAGCTTCCGAGCAGCTTGGACTATGAGGCATGTACCACCCTACCTGGCTAGTTAAATAAAGAAAAAATGTAGAGATGGGGACCCATGTTGCCCAGGCTGATCTAGAACTCTTGGCCTAAAATGAGCCAATCTTCCTGATTTAGCCTCCTAAAGTGTTGGGATTGCAGGTGTGATCACTGCACCCTGCCTAAGGTTTTATATCCTCTAGGTTAAGACTAAAATTCCAGATTCCTTGGGCATCAGGCAGGTAACCTCATATGATATCATAGGGCCTGCAGAGGCCTGTGGGGAACTGAAGATCACATGCCCCCACCAAATGATATTTATATTCTGTTTTCAAGAAAATTGCAGCCAGGTACATCCTCTAGAACCTTCTTTTTCTTTTTTATTATTTTTCTTTCTTTCTTTCTTTCTTTCTTTCTTTCTTTCTTTCTTTTTTTTTTTTTTTGAGACAGTATCTCACTCTATCACGTGGGCTAGAGCGCAGTGGCGCAATCGCAGCTCACTGCAACCTCCACCTCCTGGGTTCAAGCGATTCTCCTGCCTCAACCTCGCAAGTAGCTGGGATTACAAGCCAAGCAGGTGCCAACACACCTGGCTAATTTTTGTGTTTTTAGTAGAGACAGGGTTTCACCAGGTTGGTCAGACTGGTCTCAAACCCTTGACCTCAAGTGATCTACCTGCCTCAGCCTCCCAAAGTGCTGGGATTACAGGTGTAAGCAATCATGCCTGGCCTAGGACCTTATTTATCTAGTTTCTACTTGGCATCATAAATGATGATAATACCTTATGTCATAATTATGTTCCTATAAATTTTCATTGGTAACAGTTTTTATTTTAGGTTCTTTTTTTCTGGATTCTCTGATACATCAAGTTCCATTGCAATTAGGTCATTTATTTTTGTGAGATTACTTCTTAATCTATTTGGTGCCTTTCTTCTTACATTCTACTTCACCGCATTTTATAATTTCCTCTCCCTCTTCCTTTTTTGTCTTTCCATCTCTACCTCTTTCTGACTTGCTCTGTATCTTTCATGCTGGAGTTTGACAGACCTATATTGTCATGGGATCAGAACATGAAATATCAGTCTGTCCCTCATCTAGACATATTGAAGCCCAACCTAAAATAATGTCTTTCCTTTTCCTTTATTTCATTTTGGCATTCTTTTCTTTTAATGCATCATGTGATTGATAAATATTTAATGAGTACATATATGACAATTGATCTATGCCAGTTGTCAATTGACATGTGCCAGTGTATTCATTCACAAATTTATACTGGTAGAATTCAGTACATAGAGGTGGGTGAGAGCCAAGAATATTCTCTCTACACTTTTCTACTTGATTACAAAGAAAAAAAAATCTCAGATTAAATATTACCCACACTGAAAGTTTGATGAAGTTCCAGCTCTTTCTCCTTTTAGGTGTTCTTTTCTTCCTCCTCATTATTTTTTTTAAAAAAAGATACTTTTAAGACAGAGTCTCACTCTGTCACCCAGGTTGGAGTGCAGTGGTGAGGTCATAATTCACTGCAGCCTCGATCTCCTGGGCTCAAGCGATCCTTCCACCTCAGCCTTCCTAGTAGCTGAGACGACAAGTACACGTAACCATGCTCAGCTAATTTTTAAATTTTTTTGTAAAAATGGGGTCTCATTATGTGTCCCAGGCTGGTCTCAAACTCCTCGGCTCAAGTGATCCTCCTGCCACAGGCCTGAGCCACTGTACCCAGCTGCCTCCTCCTACTTAAAAAAAAAAAATTGAAATATAATTCACATGACAAAAACTCACCATTTTAAAGTGTCCAACACAATTCAGTGTCTAATATCTTTTTTTTAACTGAGGTAAAATTCACATAACATAAAATTATCCATTAGCCATTTTAAAGTGTGCAATTCAGTGACATTTAGCATATCCACAAGGTTGTGCAACCATCACATCTATCTAGTTCCAAGACTTTTTCGTCACCCCAGAAGGAAACTCTATAGTTGTCCAACAGCATCTTATCTGAAATGTTCACTCAATACAAATGTGACAGCATTCTAGCAGTGGGGTTCAGCTAACCTAATTGGAGTCAGACCAGACAAATTTCTTAAGAAAGCAGCTGAACATAGTACTATTTGGGAATGAAGCCAAAGGTGCCATTTTGAAGGGTGTAGATCTCTGGGCTCACCAGATTCTTAGAACCTGTTCCTGTAAGGGCAGTGCCTGGTTAGTATTTGTAACTGATGTGTGCATTTTGAATATAATCATTTCACTAAAATTTATTTCTCACGTCATTTATGGCAATTGACAAAGCTTCTTGTGTTGATTAGAGAAAAAGCTACTGAGGCATTTTGTTAGCCACTTCTGAATTGTGAGCTTCTGATAGAAATTTGCTAAACACTCCTGGAGTATATATTCTTAATTAGGTTAACTGACCACCACCCCTAGAGGGTAGATTGCATCTAACAGACTCTTTCATATATATCATATTGTCCATGTTGAATGACCCTGGATTTACATCATATGCGCAGTTAACTTTTGCAGCTTCAATTATGAGAATTGATCAAAAGTGAGAGACAAAGAGAATATTTAAATGGAGCTCTTAGAGAGCCTGAGCTGCAGGTCAAGCTTAAAATGGCAGCCTGAATCCACTGTTCCCACAGTTGTCCTCAATTACCTTGTCGTCCTCAGTGTGTGAGCAGGATGCCATATTAAGAATGATCCCAATGGTTAAAGATATATATTATTCATACAACATGGCACCTAAGCATAACGAAATGATTTTAACTGGTCTTCAAGTGAGGAAGCAGGCAGTCATCTGCTTCAACATGGGGAGAAAAATGGGCTGTGTTTTACTTACTGAGAGGCACAGTTTTCTAAAGTAGTTAAGGAATTTTCAAGGATATTTTTGACTATCTCTGAATTTTGCCATAACTGCTTTAGAATCCACCTGTCTTTCCCTTCCTTATTCCCTACCGCCCCCATACAAGATGAATCTGAGTCTAGCATTGGACTAGGCTCCTTGAAGTTCCCGAAGTGTAAAGTAGGGTCTCCAGGGCATTGGAAGAATTTCAGATATGCCTGCTTGAATTGCCTGAAGGCAAGAAATCGTCAGGACTAACAGTCAGAGGATAATTTTATGCCAGAACCAAGGCAGCTTTGTGTTATTGTTAATGGGAAAAAAATGACAAAACTTATTCATCTTGTGAGAAAGAATATTTTGTCTCTATAACACATACATTTAGAATCCCACTGTGAAATCCCAAAGGCAGACTCTAGTTCAGTTTCTGGTAGAGCTGAACGATGGATGTATTACTTGAATATCATTTCCTTGTTCTAACCAGATGGTGATAAAAGTATAAAATAATCTTTATGTATTGTATCTTAGATCGTGTATCCATTCGCATAGCTGATGTATGGAATGTCTTCTTCGAAAAATTCTCTCTACTTTTTTCTATATTAACAAAAAGTATACAGGCAGCTGCTTTATTTTAAGTTTGCTGAATTTTCTTTTCAATTCTTAGTTTCTAATTGCAATTCCAACAGGTATTATCTTTTGATGCCTATTTGGAAGAGGAAGTACCTGATAAAAGCCAAACCAAGTACAGAATAAGATACTATAAAATCTACTACTATCCTGAAGATGACACAATTCAAGTAAATGAACCAGAGGTGAAAAATAGTGGATTGCCTCAAGGTATCTATTTAAAGCCAATTTATGGTTCTTTCACTTCTAACTTCTGCCTTTATATATTGTCTGTCTTTAGCTTTTCAAAAGACTGCATGCTACTGCTTAGGCTGTCTAACCTGCTGGCAATGGTGAATACAAACATGCCATTAGCGTGTAGTTATTGATGGTGGCTTACCGGCTTTCTACCTTCTGCACCTCAACATTGGCCGGGTCTCTCACTCCTCTGTGGCATACTTAGATGTTTTCAGGTGCTGCTCTGGTATAAGTAAACTCTCCTGTGTCTTCGATTTTTTCTTCAAACCCTTTGGTCTCTTTGCTGTGAGCGGATCACTTCCTTCACCACACCATGAGGGGAGAAGAGAAAGCTGTTCTCCACTGTAGCTTCCAGATTGGCATTCTCTTCTTGAATTTATTGTCATTTGTTTCAACTACCCCCTCCTCATCCTCATACCTGTTAACAACAAACTTCGTGGTACCTCACCAGATTCATTGTTCCTTCACCCCATGTGTGCAAGTCATCTTTGTCCATACTCCACTCAGCCACGGATAAGCGTTAACTCTGTGATGTGGCCACCAGAGAAGCTAATCCTAGGTTGCATTAAGTATGGCACAGATCAATGGAGGTGCCTGATTTCTTCTGTTTGTGCTATGGGTTCTTCTCTTGGGATGCTGCTGAGTTCTGGATGACTTCAGGGGACAGAAACTACAACGGCAAAGGAACTGAAAATTTGTCATGTGCAAGACAGAATAGCGAAAGGGGATATTTGTCTGCAATGGGGAGACTCAAGTGTGTTTGACAAATATCCTAGGAATCTAAAGGGCTGTCATGTGGAGGAGGGGTGACCTTATTTTCTGTATCTTCATGGATGTGACATAGGGGTCAGAGTTCAGGTCAGTAAGAGGAAGAACTTTCTGGCACAGAGCTGCTAGAAGTTGTAGTAATGGACCTGGATAGGGTTGGGGTTAGGGGTCTGGTATAGGGGCAGAGGAGAGGAGAGTCACAGATTTGTTTGTTCCCTCATGTAGACAGATGGCCTTGGGGGCAGGTCAGGGTTGTTTTTCACTGACAGCTTAGTAGAAGTATGAGAGGATTTGAGTGGTCGCTGGTGTAAATGACCTTTCAGGGTACTTTGTTCCCTGAGGAGTTAAGATTCTTGGGTGTGCTGTTGTTTCTTTGCCTTTTAGAGTACTGCCACCTCCAGTATCTCAGGCTCTGAAATTGCCTTCTCTGACTACAATCTCTACTCCTTTTACTTTACCCACTTGCTCATAACTACCATCCCGGTTCTTAATTCTCCTAGAAAAACGTATCCTGAATATGTCCATGTCTTTCCATCCCCTTCACTACCATCCTCACCCAAGCTACCCTCATCTCTTGACTAAAGGAATGGAATAGCTGCCTGACATGGTCTCCCTGTTTCCATTCTTGCTCTTCCTCCTCTTCATACAATCTCTTCTCTATGCAGCAGGGAGAGTGTTGTGTGGGATGTTACCTGGATGCAGTGGTGACCTCTGAGAATTATATATGAAGGCTCTCCCAGAGGCCACAAACAGAAGGCTCATGGATCACATTAAAATGTGTGAGTCACATAATGCATTAAAGTCATTTAAAACACATGATGAGAAGCAAGAGGGAAAGAGATAGGGTAGGTTCACACACTTGGGGCAGGGTACCGGTAGGCAGAAGGACCATACTGCCTGACTCCTGGGGCCAGCAATGGTTCTGTCTCTGTTTCACTACCCTTCCCTGCTACTAATATGGAAACTAGGATTGAGGTTCAAGCAAGGAGAACCATAGACAGAAGGGGTCTCGGGCTGAGGTCACACACTGTCTCTGTTGGAGAGATGCAGGGAGGAGTGTGCCCGGCCATGGCTGTAGCTTGTCAATAAACCTGCTGAATAGTCTTGGGTTTTGTTTATGTTTCTTGGGCAGAGGTCACATGGGGCCAGAATGGGTGTCTCCAGTGAATGAGCGGCCAAATGGAGACCTCATAAATATTGGGTGCTCATGAATATTTAGTGTCCCTTATATATTTAGCATATCATGAATATTTAGAGTCCAGGTGCCTCATGTATATTTAAGACCTACTGAAAATTAGTTGTCTTTTGGTTTTTCTAACCCTTTCTTTCTATGTTTAACATACTCACTCTACTTAGCCTACCTACCTATCATTATTTAACACAACTCATGATTTCTGCCTATGTTGAACAAATTTTGCTTACTTACTAGTAATCTAGGCCTGAGGGCTTTGTATTGATATACCACAATGAGTTCAAGGGGGAGAAGCAGGGATTTGAGGGCCACGGGCTCTGAGAATAAGGTTGTCCTGCAACGTCATTAAGTGTGCAAAGGGCTTCCTTCAATGCTCACGAGATTGAGTTTTTTCTTAGAGCATGGCTTCATTGTGCCTGGTGGTTGGAATGATGAATTTGGAGCCAGCCAGCATTGCCAAGAAGTGTTTGTTGGATGCCTGTTCTGTGTCAGGCACTATGCTGTGTTTTGGGAAAATGGACAAAAGGATGGAGTCCCATCATAGCCCAATCTCATAGAGCAATAATAGGCCACCAGATTGGAGAAGAAAGGGAACAAGGCCACCAGTCCAAGAGTTTTGCAATTGTTCAGGCTAGAAATGCTGAGTGTCCAAACCAGGACAATGATGGTAGGAATAGAAAATTGGGGCAGGATTTGAGAGACATTTGTTGGCAGAGTTGATAGGCATCAGCCAGTGATTAAATACAGAGAGTGAGGAAGAGGAATATCTAATGAAAAAGTGTCTATGTTATCATTATCTCATTTAATCTCCTGATGACCATGTAAAGTAGTTATTGTCACTGTCAGCTTTTACAGAAAAGGAAACAGGCTTAGGGAGGTAATTTGCTCAGCCTGTTTTGCATGGCTCTAAAGGAATACCTGGGGCTGGATAATTTATAAAGAAAAGAGGATTATTTGGCTCACAGTTCTGCAGACTGTACAAGATGCATGACACCAGCTTCTGCATCTGGCGAGGCCTCAGGAAGCTTTTACTCATGGTGGAAGGTAAAGGGGGAACAGCAGTGTCACAGGGCAAGATGGGGAGCAAGAGAGAAAGGAGGAGACGCCAGGTACTTGTTAACATTAGATTTTATGGTAACCAGTAGAAAGAACTCACTCACTACTGCCAGGACAGCACAAAGACATTCATGAGGGATCTACCCCCATGACCCAAACACCTCCCAGCAGGCCCTACCTCCAACATTGGGATCACATTTCAGAGTGAGATTTGGAGGAGACAAATACCCAAACTATATCAGCCTCACAGGGTCTCTATGGTTGAGGAGATGATGATACCTTTATAAAGCCTAGGAGCACAGAGCAAGAAACAGGATTGGTGTTTGAAGCTGGGGTGTGTTTGTTTCAGGGCATGAGGTCTTTGAAAGGGTGTTAGGACATCTGTGTGGTAATGACCCTCCACACAGGTGAAAACTTAGGATGTGTTTTCAGGAAAAATGTCAAGACTAGAAATGGAGATTGGGAATCAGAGGTGCCCAGATCTTGACCAGGCTATTCTACTCTGTTGGAGGAGAGCCACAGGTGAGGTGATGGAAAGAGAAAGAGAATTCAATGCAGTGTCTCTGCTTGGTTTTACTAGTGGTGGGGAAAGAGGAAGATTAGTATGAGGAGGCGATATGAGCTGTCCTCATTGTTCTTTGTGTTCTAACTGACACACTGTCCTTTCCCTGGTCATTTTATTTGGTAAATTTATGGCTTAATGGGAAATCTTTCAGGAAATATGGAAATGCCTTAACATTTTTAAAAAAAGGTTTTCACAAAATTTAGGTTAAAAGTATGACATTTTATTTTATAAAGGGACAAGAGGTTTTAGATTCTTTACAGTCATTTTAAACACATATAAGGCAGTTTTTAAAGATTGGCAAGAATGCATTAGGAAATGGTTGAAGATTATTTAAGAACAAAGAATTTACAATGTATAATTTCTGTGGTAATCTGTTTTACTTATGGGTATTTGATTATGTAATAGTATTGCTGTGAGAAAGAAATACTTTCTTATAGGTTCTCACTTAAACATTTTCTTCTGATATTCCCTAACTAAGCTCTGCTTATTTTCTGATTACTTTCCTACCATGACACCAAACTTGTACAAATGATAGACTGGAGGTCACAGGTCACTCAAAGCCTGGATTAGGGACTTGCATTATTATGTTTCCATTATTACTTTTCAGGTGAAAGCTCATAATCCTATAGCTCACTGGTCCCTGTCCAGTTCATCTTAGTTTTATTAAACTATCCAAGAAGAAATACGAAATGTAGCTTCTTTTAGAATCTTGGAAAGGCTTTTATTAAGACTTTTCAATTCTTCCAGACTCTTGATTTCAAATCTCACACAGGCAGATTCCAAAGGCAAGGTGAAGGTAGTCATAATGATGTACTTGAAAATCATTCTTGTGGAAGGAGGAGGAATACTATCATAAAGGCTCAGAAAAAAAAAGACCCAAGTAAAAGATAATTTTAAAGTCTCTGGAAAATTTCCGAATTTTTAATTGGCTCTCTGTGGTCAGGATAATTCCCTGTGTGAAGACACAGCTCAAGAGTTGTGTATAGAATACACAGTAATCACACTGTGTAATGACATTACATTTCTTAGCAGAGTAGGGAAATTTGGAAGGCTGTAGCAAATCCTGTAGAAAGCAAACACGAATAACCACTCTGTCACCAAGCTTTGTTTAGAGAGAAACCAGTCTCTCTTGAAATATTTAATATGATAATTCTAGTTAAGGAAGGTCTGTTTGGACCACAGATACTTTGAAAAATCATTTAAATGCCTTTTCAAGCTTTTCTTTTTCTTTTCTTTCTTTCTCTTTCCTTCCTTCCTTCCTTCCTTCCTTCCTTCCTTCCTTCCTTCTTTCTTTCTTTCTTTCTTTCTTTCTTTCTTTCTTTCTTTCTTTCTTTTCTTTTCTTTCTTTCTTTCTTTCTTTCTTTCTTTCTTTCTTTCTTTCTTTCTTTCTTT